CCGCCATCGGAGGTCGTGCGTTCAGCCACTAACCCCAAAACACTGGAAAACACTCCCTCAATCCCTCCGCCTTCCCCCCACTCTCTCCGCGTTTATAATTCCCTACTAAAAACTTACATTTTCGACCGTGGTTGGGGCCATCTACAGCCCCCATCCCAGCTCAGAGTCAGGCCCCGCCATGTTAAGCGCTCTGAGAAGCTACCCTGCATGGAGGGCGCCATATAAGTGCAAGTTGTTGCCATTGTTGAATGGACTTGTTGTCGTGATGCCCGATTGGAGGGCGTGAGCAGGAGAGAGAGGTGAAGGAGTTGCTGTTTATGGGCAGTGCGGACAGGTTAGTAACACACAGGATGTCCGCATATTTTGGGTGGACACTCCTTTTAAATACAGTGAGGACACGTCCCCGTGGGCACTACACACATGTGTCACCGGCTCACACACACCCCGCCACAGCACACCGGCTGATCAAGGCCGGTGCCCCGATGACACGGTAAACACCCGGAGACACGGCCACACAAACCGCTCACGTCCACTCAACACACAACCAGTCCCGACCCTGTCCCCGCGGCCTCCCCACCGGGTCCTGTTCCCTTTACCTACACTACAGGGAGCAGTGACACGGGTGGGGCTGGTCCCGGCTCTGTACAAATACAAGTTTGAGGTTGTTGTTGTTGTTGAGCCCTTGCACCACTCTCCGCAACTCCCCCCTTGAAGGGCGGAGACTTATATACATTTTCCGGACGCTCTTTGGTTACACATGGACCAAAATGCACTCTCTGTACAGTAAATGGCTACACACATATCTACAATTCCCGTCTCCGCACAACTCACAGTAATCACACACTGAATGGGGGGAATTGAAATTGACGCCAAGTCCAGACAGATAGGAATGGCTTTAACGCCTGCAATACAGCCAAATGTCCAGCAGGTGGCGGTGCTGCACTATAATCCCACCCGATGTACACAGTACAACACCGCCTCCCTTTGGCTGATAGCGGCATTGCTGCTCCAAGAAAATTCAGTTCAAAAAAATACTTTTACAATTTCCACAGACAACCTGTGTTTATTTATCCTTCCTTCACGTAGGATCGCGACTCGCTGCTGTTCCTCAGTGTTGTTTTATAATGGACGAATACATTTTCATTCCTTTTCACTATCAAAATCAGAGAGTGCTGTGAACACTCAGCGGGTCAGGCAGCCTCTGTGCAGAAAGGAAAGTGAGTCAAAGTTTTGGGTCCAGGACACTGAATCAGAAGCGTTGACTCACTTTCCTTTCTCCATAGATGCTGCCTGACCTGCTGAGGTTTTCCCGCTCTCTCTGTTTTTGTTTGAGATTCCAGCTTCTCCAGTGCTTTTTTGTTTTGTTTATCCGTTTTGATGCGTTTATTTAAATAAGCAGTTTATCCACTGAATCCCATTACATTAATTTTATTCCTCAGTCCCTCGATCCGGTTATCACCATCTAATGCTGGAGAGCGGTAAGGCAGAGAAATCAATTCACCTTTATTTAATCTCTCCTGAAGGCTGTTATGCATTTCAGTCCAATAATCATTTTCTGTAGATGAGACTGTGTTCAAAATTATTCCCTGCAGTACCGCTTTGTTGCCGGCAGATGGCGCCGTTGCGCTGTGTAACTGCCCACAATGTTCTCAGTGATATCACTTGTCCTCATTGACTGGAGGTGAACAGAGTCTCACTGGAGCTGATCTGGAGTTTGGCCACAGAATGTCAGAATCAGTCAACCCTCCGTGACGGTCTCTAGTCCGGTTACTGACCCAGGAGGGGCCGCAGTATTCCAGGGCACTCACTGCTGATGACAGCATAGCTCGGCCTGGCTCATCGGCAGGACCTGTAAGGACAGACCAGTCATGTGGGGGAAGGGTATCATCCCACTCAGCACCTGTCAACCATGCAAACCAAAGCCGTAATTGGTCATGTGGTCCTACGAGTGGGAAAGGTTCAAACTCCGCTTCCCATGACTCCCCTCACACATGCACAGCTCACCCTTACCATCTGATCAGCCTTCGCACACATCTTCTCTGTCTGACTGTTCGCTGCATCTTCTGTACGCGCCTCTCTGTGGTTAAGGATAGGGAAGGGCTGAGGGTTTCGGTGTGGGTGAGATGGAGTTGGGTTAAGGTAAGGGTGGGAGTGGCTGGGTGTGTCTGAGGGTGGGGACGTTCTTGGTGTAGGTGAGTGTGGGGCGGGGCTGGGTAAGGGTGAGGATGGGGATCGGCTGGGTATAAGTGAGGGTAGGGATGGTCGGTGTGTGTGAGATTGGGGAGGGGCTGTTTGTGTGAGGGTGGGGAGAATCTCGGTGGTGACGGTGGTGGGGGTGTCAGGTTATGGCTGAGGATAGGAAGATCTGTGCGTGAGAGTGAGGAGGGGCGTGTGGGTTATTCTGGGAATGGGTTTGGTGTCGGTGAGGATGGGGAGAGGCTGGATATGTGAGGGTGGGGCGGGGATTGGTGTAAGTGACGGTGGGGAGGTACTGGGTGTGGGTGAGGGTGGGTAGGGTGTTGGTGTGGGTGAGTGTGGAGTGTGGCTGTGTGTGTGAGGACGGGTAGGGGCTTTTTGTGGGTCAGGATGTGAAAGACCAGTCAATGAGGAGATTCTCAGCGGCTCAGGCTTTTTCGTGCTTGATTCGAACAGGGACTGAATTAAGGATAACAATTCTCAGTGAAAGACTGGGTGAAAGTGTCGAGATGAGACATGTTACCATCGTTATAGAATAACCTTCTTCTCTCCACTCCCCACTCATTGTCCAAGCAAACTCCCAACTTCCTGGATCCCTCTCTGTGGAATGAGGGTGTCAGGTCTGGTCAAAGCTGTATATTAATCTGTTTCTCCACTGATGGTGTGATATATCCTTCCCTATTGATGGACCCTCTGGTCTTTCCCACGTGCCTCCAAGCATTGTTGCCTGTCTGCTCCTCCCAGTAATGTCTCCTTGATGGGAACCCTTTAGAGCCCAGGTCGGAAACCACTTTGAGGAGCCAGGGAGCTGCTGCCATTTGTCTCCTTGACTTACGCTGAATAGGCGGAGCGCTGGTGTGGGTGTTTATGAGGATGCCCTCGTTGTGGATAAGGATGCAGATGGACTGGGTACCATTAAGGATGGACTGTGTGTGAGTACAGGGAGGGGCTGTGTCAGGATCCAGAGTCAGAGTTACCGGAGCTGAGAGAAACAACAGTGGATTGCGGGTGCAAACCAGTGGAGGTTGGGAGGAGGGAATGATTGTGTAAGGAATTGGGTGGAGATGCAGGTAATAATAATAATAATAACAATCCTTGCATTTGATATAGCGCTTTTCACGTCGGGAGGACGTCCCAAAGCGCTTCACAGAATATACTGTATAGTGAATTGACTGTATATTTTTGGGCGAACACGGCAGCCAACTGCGCAAAGCAATGTCCCACAAACAGTCGTGGATTGGAAATGACCAATTTATTATTGTTTATAGTTTTGGAGGGTTTATTATTAGGCGTGTGGAGTAAGGAAACTTGCCCAATTGAATTGAACTCAGGTCTCTCACTTGCAAAGCGAGTATCGATCCACTGAGCTACAGACCTCCAAAGGTATTGACGGGGAGGAGGTGAGAGAGGTGTGGGTGTCGGATAGCAGTCTGGGCGGGGCACAGGGAGGCTGGTGTGTGTGAGCTGCTGTGAACAAGTGACAGATGCACGTGGACTCACTTTTCTTTCTCCCTCGATGTTGCTTGAGCTGTTGACAGTTCACAGCTACTTCTCTTTTTGTCGAAACTATTTGGGGAGTCAGGGAGCTGCTGCCGTTTGTCTCCGAGTCTCACCATGAAGATTGGGAGGGGCTGAGTGTGGGTGAGGATGAGGAAGGACTGGATGTGGATGTGTGTAAGGATGAGGAGGGACTGGGTCCTAAGACAAAATGAGATCAGAACAGGCTGTGTCAGGATCCAGAGACAGAGAGGCCGGAGCTGAAGAACAGAAACAACACACAGTGAAGTGAGGGGGCAACCGATTGGGGAGTGTGTTGAGATGAGTGAGGGTGTAATTGAGGGGTCATGGTGGAGTTTAGCTTGTGAGGAGAATGAGGAAGGGTGGGCGGGGAAAGCAGTTGTCTGGGCTGTGCATGGAGAATTCATGGAGTGTGAGTTAATGGCAGATTCACGTCACTGTGTAATTTTTCCTCAATCCAGACTAAACAGCACTGATGCCCCAGCGTTGCCGGGGCAGCAGCAAAGGGCGATCATGAGCGCCATCCTGACCGGGTTCGACTGCCTCACCATTCCTCAGAATATCGAGTTCATGCCCCTCATGTCCGGTACCTCACAAACCATTCATTAACGCCCCAACCCACTCCCTGCTGCCTCCGCTTGTTCCCTGTGCCCACCGTTACACCATCAGCAGCAGCAATTTCAGCCGCTACGCCCCAAACTCTGGAACACTCTTTATCTATCCCTCTGCCTTGTCCCTTTCTTCCCCATCTTCAGGTAGCACCTGAAAACCTTCCTCGTCGTTGGTTTATATGGTCACCTCCCTCTCCCCTGGCTCGGCGTCATGCTCCGCCACAGTCAAGCTTTCTGGGTATCCATCCATGTGACGGTGTTATATAAGTGCAAGTTGTTATTGGTTTTGTTGAGTTCTAGATCCTCATCCTCACCATGAAAGCCCTCCAGGTCTTGCTCCTCCGTGACAACCCAACCAATTCCTCTACTCAGGGGCCTCCGGTGTGCTCCAAACCCCCATCGCCTGCTCGCTCAACCATCAGCAGTCAGGCGTTCAGCCTTCTGGAACTCTATGTTGTGTCATCTCCACCTCGCCCCATCCATTGCCTCCTTCAAATACCATCGCAACGTTGCAATGTTAATTTTGTTAGGATCCAGGTGATTATAAATCTGTTGACACAGCTTCAAGGTGAGAATGGCAGTCATTTACATCGGCTGATGATGTGTATCAGCTGTCTCCAGACTGTGTACTGTAAAGCCCTTTGTATATCCCCACAGGCAGATCACCCTCATACACTGTCAGCGTAAACTTCTCATCACTGATCCTGACATAATAGACGTTCACATTATAAAGTGAAACATATTGTGTTTGATCTGTGCTTTGAATTCTGGAATATTTGGCGAAGAATATTCTCTTGTGAGCAGCTTCCTCCTTATCAAATCAAGCACAGACCGATGTGAGCTCACGCTGAGAGAGCACATCGTAAACTCAGCCAGAGGGTGGGAGCAGAAAGACTGAAGGCCAGACCTCCAACGATTGGGTGGGCACGGCGGGAGACATGGAGCAGGTCAGTGCCCTCACAGAGACTGAGGGAGACGTTTTCACACACACAAGGTGAGAGACATTTAGATGCACAGCCATTAAACGTTTCAGGTGCAATCAAGAGAGAATAATACACACACAGACTCACACACAGAGACAGATACGCCATCGCTCACATACACATAGAATGAGTGATACACTCACAAACAATTACAACAACTTGCATTGACATAGCGGCGTTTACAAGGGGTGGCGTCCCGGAGCACTTGGCAGAGTCAGAAAGTGTTTCCGAGCAAAGGCGAGAGAGAGGCGCAGAGCTTTGGGAGTGATCGCAAGCTTAAGCAAAAAGGAAGCACTTACTTTAGGTAGGATTTGAAAGGAGGAGAATGATGGAGTGAGTGGTGAAGTAGAGAGTTCTACAGTTTTGGGGCTGTAGTGGCTGAAGGCACAGCCACCGATCGTGGAATGCGACGGACGTGGGACAAACACGAGGCCGGAGCCAACTGAGCTGAGACAACAGGAGGTGGAGTGGGATGTAAGCAAATTGGGATAGGTGGGGAGGTGCGAGGGCGATAAGGGAATTGAAAACAAGTGAACAGGTCTTGAAGTTGATCTATTCAGTACTTTGGAGCCAGTGGAGCCTGGCAAGGACTTGGAAACAGAGTTTGTGAGAGTGAGTATCAGGGTATTAGAGTTTTGGATTGATTGAATTGTGTGTATACTGGAGCTGGGGAGACCAACGAGGAGAGCATTAGAATAAGAACAAAAGGACACTGGAATTTGCTGGCGAAAGAAAACCAAGGTCCATATAATTCGTCTGCCACCAAACTAGCATTCGTTTGACATATCGAGTCCCAAACAGTATCACGTCCATCCGACGAGAAAGGCGCTCTATAAATTTAATTTTGTTGTTGCAGATGTTGTTGCTGTGTACACCGAGTTATTATAACCTGGCAGAAATCTATACAATTTGTTCTTGAAACAAATGATATTTTCTGCTTCCAATGTGTCCCGATGGAGCCTGTTCCATAGATTTACTTCTCGCTCACTGAAAGAGTGTATCCACAGTCTTGTTCTGAATTGAGACCTTTTGAATGGCTTGCCAGGTCTTGTGGTTCTACTGTACAAGATAATGCAGCTGATCATGGTTGACATAAAGTATTTCCTTCAGAATCTTAAAGACGGCGGTCGTATTGCCCCTCAACTATTTCTTCTCTGGTGTGAAAATGCTCAGTTTATCTAATTTCTCCTCGTAGTCCAGTCGCTCCAACCGCTCCATCATTTTGGCTGCCCTCCCCTGTATCCCCCTAATCGCTGCAATATCCTTTTTATTTTGCAGTGACAAGAGCTTTACACAATATTCCAAGTGAAAGAATTTCGCCGGGAAGTGCATGGGATTTTGGTGAGGTACGGATGGAGCTTGGCAATGTGACAGAGATGGAATAAAGACTTGCTGGTCAAGGTCCTGGTGTTTGCAGACACTCACACACATGCACAAAACAGGCACACACATCTTCCCCTTCACTGCACCTTCTGCCACTTGGACCCACAGAGAAAACAAGACACAAACATAGACAAACAAAGATACAGAAATAGTTGTGATAAGGAAGTTCTCTGGGCCGGCGATTCGGAGGAACAAGATGGATGTAACAGTGTGGATGTGAAAGCTTCAGCAGTGGGTCGAGGAGACTGGAGACAGCGCGGTCTTGTGGCAGCGTCTATTCATTTGTGTTAAGTTAAGTGTCCAACCGTTAGTTGGACAGCAGCTGTCTGTAAGACACAGGCTGTGAATTCAGTTCCACATTTGTTTGTCAGAACTGAAGGAATATGAGATTCAATGATTGTTTTTTTGCAGTATAATGGATGACTAGATACCCAGTGACATGTCCTCCGTGCAAAGGAAGCCACGTTGTTTATGATTCAGATTTTTTGTTGTTGTTTAGCCAGGTGTCTAATATACACAGAAACCCATCACGGTAACGAAGCGTCTGCAAACGAAACAGAGAATTCCATGCATCCAAACTACATTTTCCTGAGATAGATTTTTGGATTGGAAAGTGCACTCTCTTCCTGGAGGGTCAACTGCTGCTAACCTAATTCCTTGGAGTATAAAGTACAGGTTGCAAGAGCCAACCTGTGCTTTGGGGCCCCAAGAGCTTGTGTTGGGGTAATTGTTGGAGTCTAACGAGCTAAAACTGCACAGGTTACCATTGATATTGCTATCTGACAAACATTCCTGCTGTTTGTCCAGCTACGACCATCCTACACATTGGCTTTGGTTTTCAGGGGTAACAGGAGCTGATATGCAAGAATCACTGACCAGCGACTAGTCGGCCCTTCCGTATCCTGCCAATGAACCAGGCTGGGCTGTGTTGTCACTAACAGTGCCCTGGAATACCCTGGACCAGCCTGGCTCAAAAACTGGACTAGAGACCGTCAGAGAGGCCTGACTCGATTCGGACATTCTGTTGTCAAGCTTGTCAACTGTTAAACTAATCTAACAGTGAGGGCAAAGAGTGACTGATGAGAAGATCCATAGCCATAGCATTATTTATTGGTTCGAGGCTCACTAATGCTCAGAGAGTGAATTGTGTGTCTGTTGATAAAGATATAAGCTGCAGGGCTGTGCTGTTTGGGCAACACCCTAATTGTGGTGGCAAAAGTGAACTCGCTACAGTATGGTTTCACAACTGAAACTATGATACTGATATTGCTAAAAGTATGAAAAATAACATGAATTATTAACATTGCTACTAATAATGATATTAGAGGTGATATGTTTCCGATATTCCATTGCCAGTTCAGCTCCAAGTAGACCCTTCTTACACAGACACCGGGCCTCTTAACTGAGAGTTTTACACATGTTTACTAAGAGGCTCGGGAACGTCTGGAATGGTGTGGCGGTTCGGAGTGAGGGTGTGGTGGGGGTGTGTGATGGTTATGATAAGGAGTCTGTGACAAACACAGCTCTGTACTGTGATGTGCAGGAGGGAAAGTGCAGGTTCAAAAAGGCGATTATTGGGCCGAATGGGCTTCTTTAATCAAACCAATCAGATGTTTGCAACACATTATGAGGAACTGGGGCCAACCAGGTTTCTGAGAGAAGATAGTGTCACCATAAACAGGACAGACATTCAGCAGCAGCAGCTTTGTACGTGACTGTGTCTGAGGTAGAATCAGCAAGTGAATATTTCATTTGTTCTGAACAGGAGATCGGCAGCTCAGAGAGTGAGAGACCAGGAGCAAACAATTTACCCGCGTCAACAACTGGACCACATATAGCAGCACCAAGGTAGGCTGAGGGCATCAATTACCTCAACGTCATTTACATTACTGTTTTTCCTCAGCACCAGTTCAATTTAGATCTGCAGATTTGTAGAGTTCTGTATCTTTCAACAACAACGTACATTTACACAGCACGCTTAACGAAGTGAGCACTTGACAGTGGTGGAGTCTGACCCCCTATCTACGGGGATAGGGAGGGGGTCGGTGACCATTAGCACGATCAAAAAGGAAAATACTTAGCCAGGATTTGAAAGTGGGAATGGAGGAGGCAATGCGGAGGGATTGAGCGAGAGGGGTCACTCTGTCTCTGGATCTCTCTCTGTGTCTGAGTGTGTCTGTATTTGTATTGCTCACTGTCTGGGTATATCTATCTGTCTGTCTCTATGTGCGTTTCTCTCTCTCAATCTGTGTGTATTCCTTTCTGCTCTATGTGTGTAAAAGTATGCCTATATGTCAATCTGTCTTTGTATGCAGTTATCTCGCACTCTCTCTATATATATATTTGTATTACAGTCAGTTACTGGTTAGAGACTCAATGAGGCCAAGAGAGGAAATGTTATATTTGTGGGAATGCTGCTGTTTCTCTGTTAATAAAGATATGAACTGCAGCTTTGGGCGGTGTGGGGAACGCCCAGAACATAGGATACAAGTGAACTCAATACAACATGGTTTTACCGCTCAAATTAACACTATTTAAACCAAATGTACGCACTTAATGAAACAAACCATCACAGTTTGAACTGCTGCTACATGTTTATGATATATTTCAGCTGTGTTAGATATACATGTTGCTTTTGCCCTTTTCAGCATGGAGGCCCACACTATGGAACTGAATGTCCCGGGATGTGTGTGACACCAGCAGCAATTAACCAGACAGTGATAATCAGCTGTTAGATTAAAAACAATACAGATATATTTGTTTGTAGATAGAATATACATTTACATTCATTTCAAACAAGCAATCCTTAAACAGAACGAAAAAAACAAATGTATCATTATCCTGTTATCACAGATTACAGCAGATCACCGTTGTGCGTGAGGTCGCGGTTTGTGTGTGTGTTGGTGGTGTGTGTGTGGGTGGTGGGGGGGTGGGGGGATGGGGTGGGGGTTGGTTCTGGGGTAGGCATCTCTGCGTTTCGCTTTGTTCAGGAACCAAGACTGCTCCACCTTGGGCTTCTGCCCCTCTTTATAAGGCACAGTTACAAGGTAGGCCTTGTTCCTCCCTTCTCTGCAGTGCTCCTATTGAATTGGAGTGTGAAAAGGTTAACGCACACAGGCCATGGACACATTTTTGAAACGTACCATTTAATCACAGTGGGGAAACCCACTTTGTTACCCGCGAGTCCTTATCAACTTATGTCTGTGAATCCATAGGTCTCTCTACCCCTGTACTCCCTTCAAAACGATACCGGCTAATTCCCTGTCTGTAACCTTGCAGCTCGGCTTGTAACCACTTTAATTGAATCGGTGTTCTCTCTTTCATCTACATTTTTGTTTTTCCTTAAAAGGCTTGATCTTCGCTTCCCAGGCAATTTTGTCAATTAAGATTAAGCAAAGTGTGTTATTAAACTCGCTGCCATTCCTTGTTCTCATACTTGTACATATATCATTTCGTGAGGACTCCTGTGCGAGAAAGTTGTGGGAGCATTCAGTGGGAGGCTCAGATGAACAACTTTTGGGAGGACTTCATATTGGGAGGACACCATGTTGTGAGGAGCCTTGTTTGGAAGCTTTCCTTGTTGAGAAGAACCCATGTTCGAAGGTCTCTTGTTGGAGGATTCCCAGTGGGAATAATCCCTGTTGGGCGCACTCCTGGTTGGGAGGACTCCTGGTAGAGATGACCCACAGGTTTGGAGGACACCTGTTTGGGAGGACACAGACAAACATTTGTTCTTTAATAGTTTCGATTAAAAGAATAATAATAATCCTTGCATTTGGTATAGCACTTTTCACGTCTTCTAGATGTACATAAAAACATTAAACATCACAATTATAACTGTACAGTGACCAAAGTCAACAACAAAATTGCATTTTATAGCGCATTTCCTAGTCGTCGGATGATGAATACTTCGGAATTGAGCTGGGTGTCGGGATTCTGGAGGGTGCAGGGCAGGGGCGGAAGGAGGGTGATCGAAGACATGGTCGAAAAGGAGGGTCTTTTATGATATTAATATTTATTTTGGCTTTTACATGAATCCGACATTCCTTTGCCAGGCATATTAACCTGGAAGCATTTCAGCTCCAAGGATACCCTTCTCACACAGGTAGCCCCATAATAATTATAATTATTATTGTGCTCCTTTGCTGAGCGATAAGGTAAGAAAGGAATAGTTTTGCGGGATCCAGGTGTGGAAGGGGAGAGCGGTCAAGTGCCCTGAACAAACGCAGCTCTGTCCTGTGATGACAGGAAGGAAACTGCAGGTTCTACAAAGATGATTAATAGGCCGAAGGCTCTTCTTTATCCAAACCAACTGAATGTTGCCATCACATACCATGGAACCTAGTAAGGGTTCAGATTGGAGATTATGTCGCCAGAAGACGGGCAGAGAGACAAGCAGGCAGAGAGTATGTTTGTAAGTTACAGTATCTAAGGCAGAACAAGGAAGTTTACCATTGCATTTTTCCTGCACAGAGGATCATCAGCTTTAGAGAGATAGAGGCCAGAAGGCGACAATTCACCCCCGAGAGCAACTGGACACAGAGAGCTGCACCCGGTAGGCTCAATGCGTCAATTTCCTCAACGTGATTTACACTAATATTTAACGTCAGCAACTTTGTCACTTTAGATCTGCAGATTTGTGGATTCCTGTAGCTTACAACAACAGCTTACATTTACACAGCGCCATTCACACGGGTTAGCGTTTTTGCGCTCTTGACAGTGGCAGAGTCTGACCCCAAGCTCAGGCGAGAGGGAGGGGTGACGAGACCGTTAGCATAATCAAAAAGGAAAGTATTTAGGCAGGATTTAAAGTTGGAAAAAGAGGGGACAGGCCGAGGGACAGTGTTTGTTTTTGCAAGGATTATTACTATTCCAGCGCCTGGTTTCCTTTCTTTCTCTACAATCAATGAGACAGGTGGAGAACAAGAAGACGGGGCTTCAGTCCTTGATTGAACCTTATTATACATCCGAAGATGCCATTTAGGATTGAAGTACTGATGAATCCTGATTTGCATTCCAACAATCTTCAAGTGGAAACGCAGTTTTTATCACATGGCTAAACTCTTGTCCCCCAGTGTCATGGATAAAAATCCCTTAAATACAATTGTTTAATCATTCCAAGCAGTTCATAGGCCATTACTGTTGGGTAATTGGCTGCTGTATTTCCCACAAAATCCTGTGAAGCAGGTAATGATGTCATCTTGATGTGAATGGTGCCACACTAAACGTAATAATAATAATTTGTGGTAATAATATTATTACAATAGAAAATCACAAAATTACATTTGTTTATTGCCTTTCACCCAAGGTGCTGTCCTTGGCAATAGCAAAGGAAGACTCATATTAACCGCGGGCTGTTGCTTTCACCAATTAGACCAAATGGGATTCAGAAAGCAGAGAGTGGTAGTGAACAGTTGTTTTTCTGTCTGGAGGGAAATGTGCAGTGGTGTCCCCCAGTGGGTTGGTATGGGGACCACTAACGTTTTTTGTCTATGAAAATAACCTGAATTTGGATATAGGAGTACAATTTCCAAGTTTGCAGATTAGAATAAGTTAGGAAAAGTAGTTACCAGTGAGGAGGATAGTAGCAGACAGCAAGAGGAAATAGACAGACTGGTAAAATGAGCAGACACGTGGCAGATGAAGTTAAATGTGGAGAAATGCAATGTGGATGCATTTTGGGAGGAATAATGAGGAGAGGCAATATCAGCTAATTGTAGAATCTTAAAGGGGATGAAGTAACAGAGAGACCTGGGGGTTCATATTAGTAAATATTTGAAGGTAAAGATTTTAAAAAGCATACAGGATACTATGCTTTATAAATAGGGGAATAGAATACAAAAGTCACAAAACTGCCAACCTGCCCGCTCTCTCCGTTCAGCGGCCTCTGGGCTGCTCCGAGTCTCCAGCCCGACCCGCCCTCCCATCGTTGGCTTTCAGCCCCTCTGCCACCACACTCTGAATTTCATCCCACGGTCCCTCAGCCTCGCTTCCTCCCTTGCCTCCTTCAAGGCCCGTCTCCACACCCTTTTCTTCGACCTTGCCTTTCATCTCCGTCCCACCACTCTGCCTTCTCTCACCAACACCCATCCTCTCCCCCATGCTCGGGTCCCGACACCTGACTATTCAGCACATTAACACGTCCTTCCGACATAAAAGGCGCTCTATAAATGCAAGTTTGTTGTTGTTGTAGTTGAAGTTATAATGAATCTTTATAAAACACTGGTGAGGCCTCAGCTGGAGACTATGTAGAGTTCTGGGCCACACACTTTAAGCAGGTATTGGAGAGGGTGCAAAGGAGATTTTCTGGGATACAACCAGAAAAGAGGTTATTCAGTTACCAGAAAGGCGAGAGAAGCTCGGATTTTGCCCCTTGGAGCTGATAAGATTAAGAGGAGAATTAATAGAAGTTTTCAAATTTAACAGGGAATTCAATAGGTTGAACAATGAGAATTTATTAATACTGTCGATAATCTGAGCACACTGATTAAACATATTTTAAAACAAACAGAGGTGAGGTGAGGGGTATTTCTTTCACACAGCGAATTGGTAGGATCTGGAATGCATTGCTTGAAAGGGTGGTGCAAGCTGATTCGCTAATAACGTTTACGAGAGAAGTAGATAATTATTTGTGGAGGAGAAGTTTGCAGATCTAAGGGGAGAGAGAACGAAGGAATGGGATTGATTTCGATAGCGCTTTTCAAGGAGCCGCAACAGACACGATGGCCCGAATGGTCTCCTCTGCTGTATAATTCTATGAAATTGGCTGATGCATTCACCTCCGAAATACAAACTCACTACAATTCACACGAATGGGGAAGTGTTTTGAAACATCCTCCTCACTTGAAAGAAAACAAATGCAAGAAAAGTTATTATATTATGCTATTTCAGTACGATATCTGAATATGCTTAAATCCTCATTGTTTCCGTGATTTACGATTGATTTCATTTGTAAGATAAATGTCAAATGTGAGAAACAAGGAGTCATTGATATAATAACCTTATGGTATTGTCTGATAGATCACGTCTTGTTCTACGTGTTCTACTGTAAACATAAATAAGGCTCAACACCTGTCGCAAAACTCAACAACAGGTTGGCTGCAATTTGCAGCAATGAAACGCCTTGTTGGAACATTGTTCGGAAAGAAGAAACAAATCTCTGAAACACCGAGACACGACAAACCTGATGAGTCAATGAAATGGTCACCATCACCACAACCAAACACATCCACATCTGGCGGGAATGAAACAGCGAGTACATCTGCAGTTACCCAAACTCAATGTGATACGGTTGCAAATCCCAACCAGTGTTCCACCACTTTGGGTGCATCGAGTGAGACAGCGTCCGTGGAAATTGAACCGATTGCCAATGCAGAGGGCGGAGAGATGACCTGCGGTGTGGATCAGACACCCGGCAGCACACCAACAGCCAATGTGTTCTCTTTAACTGACATTGAGGAAAGTCTTAAAGAGACGATAATGAACAAAGGTAAATAGTTTATTAAGTACTTTCACACACAAATACCTAACTTTATCTCAACAGCCTTGGAACTGGGAGATCAGTCAATGTCTATTTGGATTGAGCAAACTCCCACGTGTTTAATGGGACTTGTTTGATGGTTCATGAACCAAATCCCAGGTGATGACAGACCAGCCAGCCTGGCAGATGGGCAGCTCTTGCAGTGAACGTCCAGTCAGCCTGGCACATGTGCAGGCCTTGCAATGACAGGTTAGCCAAACTGGCACATGGGCAGGTCGTGCATTGACAGACCAGCCAACCTGGCACTTGGGCAACTCTTGCAGTCACAGACCAGTCCTGGGGGAATGAATTATTCCAAATCAGCTGCTGTTGACGCTGCAAGCCCCTATGGTAGAGTGTACAGTTCACATGTATGCGGATGACACTCAAATCTACTTCTCTGCCTCTGGCCTCTCCTCCATTTACGTATCCCAGTCCGCTAATGTCCTGCCAGTTTGTATGACAGCCAACAAGTACTCGATGAACGCAAACTTCCTGCAGCTCAGCGTTGGCAAGACGGACATAATATTTGGCTCCCACCACCAACTTCGGTCATGTGGGTCCGAACTCCTCAACCTCCCCAGGATCTCCCTCAAACTCACTCCAAATAAATGCGCAACCTATGAGTCAGATTCAATCAACAGATTTCTTTCACCCCCACATCCGTTGCCTGACCAGGACCTTGACTTCCCACCTCTGCCACATTGCCCACCTCTGTTCAAACCTCACACCCACAGCAGCCAAAACTTTCATGCACAACTTTGCCAAAGCAACTGTGACTGTGAGCCCTGTGGGCGAACGTGACAATATGCAATTATCAATATCACTCAAACAACCATGGAGTGAGAGACCAATTTTATTTGGGGATTTGTTATCCAGGACATAGGGAGACACTCTCTTTTCTTTATTAACTATCAAAGCATCAACAAATGGACTTTGGTTTAGTACGTTGTCTAAAAATGGGAGCTCAGCAGCGAACGATACCCCAGCATTGTGACCTGCATTTTAGTGAGAGGATATGAGTTTCTTTTCACGCCGTGCGGCTTGATCCCGCAAAATTCAGACTCTGGCATTAACATGTTCAACTTTATAGATTTAATAAATGCGTTCCAAATTATGAGGGGTTCTCATGGTTCAGAGAGGGAATAACTGTTTCCTCTGGTGGTTGGGTGGGTAAGCAGGGGACACAGACTTAAGCTAATAGGCAAAAGAACCAGAGGAGAGTCCTGGAGTGGGTTGTCAGGTCGGTCTATGAGGTCAAAGCCCTAATGTGGAGCTTGAACCCACAACCTTCTGTCTCAGGTGCGAGAATGACACCAACTTAGCCAGGCTGACAGCTGCCTGATGGTAGCTATTAAATGGTGTTTTAAGCTAATGGATGTTGGTTTATTCTGAACTTTTGCAACAGTAAATGTGGTAATATTTCCTGAAATATATTTCAAGGAACAAAAGTTAAATCATGACTGACTAATGTTTTTTATCGGTTGCTGAAGGTATAACCACCTTATTCCCTGAGACCCTGGCCCTGTACGATGATCACCAGCTGCATCAGCTGACAGAGTTCTGCCGAGACAGATTGGAACAGGCAATTGAGGAAGGCGTGGAGGACATCAGCTCAAGGCTGACAGAGAAGGAATGTTTCAGCCCCCAGGAACACAAAGTAGGTTTGAGTCAGGAGATTTCACTTTCATTTCCTAAACTCTCATTCAGTCTGTGCCTGTCTGCACGGCTTATGTGCAGCTGTTATCATAAAATCGGCAGAGTGGCAATCAAAACGTAACCAACCAGATATGTTATAATACAGGACATGCAATATATGCTTCTAGTGGAGCAGTACTGCACAGTGTGAGACGTGTCTGTTTATATAGCGTTTAAATAGCGCCGTTCATGTGGTGAGGCAGTCTCAAGGCACTGACAGTAGAGCCGGAGCTGGATTTAGGAAGAGAAGTGGAGGGAAGGTGATCAAAGGCATAATCACAGAGGAAACAGTTTGTGGAGGGAAGAGATAGCAAATCCAGCCAAGCCAACAATGGAGCTGGGTGTTGCTGATCACTGTCACTGCTCATGTTTCATTCCATCTTCAATACATTAATGCTCACTCTCTGCAGAAACTCACTGAGCTCACACACATGGGGCAGAGGACACAAAGCTCGAAATTTCTTCTGAACCTGGTGATGGCAAAAGGTTCCCAGGCCCTGAGAGTGACGTGGGAATCCTTTGTGGAAATGAGGTTCACTTTGCCCAAACTGAACAAAATTATGACTGAAATACAGGAACAAGGTAATGTGTGATGATACACTCTGCCTCCATTCTGTGGTGAGTTACAGATCTTACTCAAATAGTATTGAGACTAAGTTCGTTCAAACTAATTATATTAACTCTGTTCAAACAGGTGCCAGTCTGGTGGATGAGGTGACCATTGACCGAAGTACTCCAGACGTCCCCAGTGATATGATAGGTATGTGACAGTGACAAGATTCAAACCAGTCAATCACTTCTGAAATACACAGTTTAACACTTTTCCATTTACTTGATGATTTCCAGAAAAATTCAAATGAGGAAGAGAGAGTGTCGGAGGCAGATAAAGAGGAAGAGGAGGGGAGAGGGGAGGACTGAAAATGCGGAGGGACGGGAATGATCCTTATTCGATTCTTACATTATTTCAGCAAATATTGCTTTGCAATGATTTTTCTCAAAATAAATTTAGAGATGACGTCTCACAAGTCGCCATATAATGGCCAGAAAATCTCCCATGGTGTGCATGTAATTCATATTGTTAAACCCTTGTTTGCCTGCCTCAATTGGTGTTCCTTTTGTCTCGCAGTCAGAAGCTGTGGGTTCACGTTCATATCAATCGGATGAGTTGACACTCCAGTGCAGTTCTGGGATATGTGCATTGTTGGAGATGCCGCTATTGGAACATAACACGCAGGTCCTGTCTACCTTTTCAGGTGGACATCAAAAACCTCAGAATACGATTTGAAAAGAGAGGGAGTTTCTTTCTCCGGTTTCCTGGCCAAAATCTCTCAAATAAATGTGGTAAATCACTTCACGGCTGCGTGTGGGACATCGCTGTGCACAAATTAGCTGCTGTGTTTGCCAACAAAACAAAGCCACTGCACCTTACATTAAATCTATCAGCGCGTTAGGTAGTCCTTCTGCCTCGAAAGGCCATGAATGATTCTAAGTATTATTATCGAATAAAGCTCAATAATTCTTCTATTTACTTTATGATTTTGTAATGTTCGACATAAAGCTATTCAGCGACTGCACAAGGAGACGTTACAGAAACAATGTGAGAAACTGGAGGTGAAGACCATCCTGATAAAGGAGAAGGTGAAGTCGTTTCAGTTGGTTGATCTCTACACGGAGTTAACAATTATTTCTGATGTACGTGAACGGGAACTGGTAGAACATGAGCTGCTGGCGAGAGGCAGAGACCACGAGGAGTGGAGACAGAAGCAACTCCGGGGAGAGCTGGAAAAAATCCGAACTGATAAACTGTTCCACAGCAGCTTCTCAAAAGGAAGTAATTTACCTTCCTCCCAGGGAAGAAGTTCTAACTCACGCACAGGGACTTCCGCAGTAGTGAGCGGAGTGGCTGGGATTGGAAAAACAACTATGGTGCAAAAGATTGTCCATGACTGGGCCACAGGCAAAATCTATCCTCAGTTCCACTTTGTATTCGTTTTTAAATTTCGAGACCTGAACAGACTTCACGACAGACCAACCTTGAGCCGTCTGATCGTGGAGCAGTATCCTTACCTCAGGAATGTTCTGGACGAGCTGTGGAAACACCCAGAGATTGCTCTTTATATTTGATGGTTTGGATGAATTCAGGGCAAGGATTGATTTCGCTGACAGTCGGAGAGACACAGAGCCTCAGCGCAGGTGCACAGACCCTGAATTCCTCTGTGATGTGTCTGACATTGTGTACAGTTTAATGCAGAAAAAGCTGCTGCCGGGCTGCTCAGTGCTGGTGACCAGCCGCCCCACTGCATTACAGTTACTGGCAAAGGCTCGGGTCAGTGTCTGGGCTGAAATCCTGGGATTTGTGGGTGAAGAGAGAAGGGAATATTTTCACAAGTTCTTTGAAGATCAGGAGGTGGCGGCTGCTGTTTACAGCCACGTGGAGGAGAACGAGCTCCTGTTCACCATGTGCTACAACCCGTCCTACTGCTGGATCCTCGCTCTGTCTCTGGGTCCCTTCTTTACACGGAAACACAGCAACAAACAGCGAGTTCCCAAGACAATCACACAACTCTTCTCCTATTATATTTATAACATACTATCACATCACAGTGTCAAGATGGAAAGCCCCCGTGATGTGATGCTGAAGATTGGTGAGATGGCCTTCACTGGAGTATCCCATAGAAACATTATCTTTAGTGATGAAGATCTCATCAAATATAACCTCCAGCCTTCCCAGTTCCTCTCTGGCTTTCTCATGGAACTTGTGGAGAGAGAGTCTTCAGAGCACAGCGTGGTCTACACATTCCCGCACCTCACCATCCAGGAGTTTGTAGCCGCACTCGCTCAGTTCCTGCCTCAAAATACAAGAAATCTGCAGAAACGCCTGAATAAAGCTCACAGGGAGGAGGACGGCCGGTTTGAGATTTTCCTGCGCTTTGTTGCTGGTCTCTCCTCCCCACGGGCAGCTGAGCCACTGGGGGAGTTTCTGGGGCCATTTTTCCATCAGACAACCTGCGCGGTGATCGATTGGCTGAAGGAGAAGGTTAAAGCTCAGATCAGAGACACAGGCACCGTCACTGGGAAAAGGAAACTGCTGAACACACTCCACTACCTGTTTGAGTCTCAGAATCAAGCCCTGGCACAGCTCACACTGGGCTCTGTACACACACTGACATTTGGTGATGACTCTCCAAGAAAGCATTGAGACTGACACCGATAGACTGTGTTGTGGTGTCTCAGGCCATTGGACTTTGTGACACAATAAATCAACTGGATTTGAGGAGCTGCTACATTCAGGAGGAGGGTCTCCAGCGTCTGGTTCCTGCTCTGCACAAGTGTCAGAAGTTGCAGTAAGTTTACTTCAATTGTAAACCTTATTCTTATAGTTTTATATCAAACTCATTCTCCAGGATTCTTCTGACAATAAACACCAGCTGATCAACGGGAGAATGGTATCACACAGCAGGAGGGAACAGTGGGTGACACTGTGATGGCCGTCACACACCGCAATCCTGCCCTGGGGGATTGGGAGGTGAATGGCTGACCTTCACTGCACACCTGACTGCTCCCCACCCTGAGCCCTTTGGTGACATTCCCAGATTGCTGATGTAATTGGGATTGTAATTGGAAACTGAGAGAGAAAGTGACTCAGAGACAGAGTGAGAGTGAGACTGAAGGGCAGAGATAAAGATAGACAGTGTGAGAGAGAGACTGTGTGCAAGAGAGACAATGATGGTGTATGTGAGAGAGAGAGACAGACTGAGAGAAACAGAGAGACTGTGTGAGAGAATATGCTATAACGTTTAGTTACTGTGTTTTGTGGGAGAGGCAGAGAAATAAATATATGTATATAGAGAGAGACTGAGACAAAGTGAAAGTCATAGAAGAAGACAGAGAGACGGTGCAAGAGAATATATTATGAAACGTAGTGACTGTTTTGAGGTAGAGACAGAGAGAGAATCAGAGAGAGAGACAGACTGTGATGTGTGAGCACATGCGTGTGTGACTGACCCTGGTCCCAGCGCTTTGGGACTTGCTCCCCACGTGAAAGGCTCCTGTATATACATGTCAATGTGTGTTGCGTTGTTACACCATATTCCCTGTGTGTGTCTCTGTGTCCAGGCTGTGGAGCAATAATCTGGGAGATTGTGGAGTGAAGCGACTGTGTGAGGCTCTGAGGAACCCGGAGTGTAAAATACAGAGACTGTGGTAAGTAACGCACTGTGTCTCCAGAGTCTGAATGACTCCAATATCTCAATGTGTTTATTGTGACTGTCTGATCAGTGCGGCTGAATATTGTGAAAGGAATCGGTGTGACAGTGTGAGGCCACAAGACATCGTTTACATCAAACTCTCAACGTGTGTTAATGTGTCTGTGCATGTCTGTGTGTGTGTGTCTCTGTCTGCGAGTCTGTGACTGTGTGTGTGTCTGCGTGTGTGTCTGTATGTGTATCTATGTTGGTGGTTGAATGTGTGTGTGTGTGTGTCTGTTGTCAGAAACATTTGCAACTATTTAACAACGAATTTAGAATGATCCTATTCCAATTTACCAATTGGTTGAGTTTAGTCACTTTATTCAGGTCAAAACAGCAGGTAGTACACAAATAAATGAAACAATAAAATAATACACACATCTCCCACTGCTTCGCTACCGTTCCCGAGAGATATCTAACACACCCTCAACTTAATAACTCCAGCCAAAGCTGTCTTTTTTAAGAAAAGCAACTCCTTACATGGTTATATCCGCAATATGTTTCAATTCTCCCTTCAACCACATTTTATTTTCTTCTGATCAGTCCCTTCGTCCAGTGTGTAAGTGTGAACAGACTTTCTGTGTCCTTGTACGTCCTGACCTTATCTTCCCATTGTTTTGGGCTCTGCCTTCAGTCACTGAGATTTTCAGCATTTGCACTTCTATTTTATATTCTTCAACCAGACTTTAACATTATCCCATGACAACACTGTGTGTATGTCTTTGTGTGTGTCAGTGCATGTGATTGTGCCTGTGTGTGTGTCTTCTGTGTGTCTGTTTGCGTATCTGTGTGTGCGTGTGCGTGTTTCTGTGTATGTGTGTCCATGAAGGTTTTTGTGAGTGTGTTTGTTTGTGTGTATTTTTGAGTGAGCTTCTGTGTTGTTCTTGTGTAGTTGTGTGTGTTTGTTTCTGTATGAGTATGCGTCTGTTTGTTTGTGTGTATGTTTGTGTATATGTTTCTCTATGTGTTTGTGTGTGTGTGTCAGCGGCTTGGGACGCCCTCCCGACGTGAAAGGCGCTATATAAATATTGTTGTTATTGTTATGTGGGTTTGTTTATGTTCCTGTGAGTGTGCGCGATTGTGTCTGGGTTTTTGTGTGTGTTCCCAACTCTGGCCTTCACAAGCTGGAGATCATCCAATCTCTGCACCTCGTGTCCTTACATACACCAGGCTCCCCGACCCCATCACTCCCACCCTCGCCGGACCCCATCACTCCCACCCTCTCCTGACACCATCACTCCCACCATCGACCGACCCCATCACTCCTACTCTTGCCCGACACCATCACTCCTAAACTCGCCCGACCCCATCACTCCCACCCTCGCCCGACCCCATCACTCCCACCATCGCCTGACAACATCACTCCCACCCTCGCCTGACCACATCACTCCCACCCTCGCCTGACCACATTTCTCCCACCCTCGTCCGACCCCATCACTCCCACGCTCGCCCAAGTCTCTCCAGCGTCCAGAAGATCGAGTTCAAGATCGGCGTCCCCACTTTTAAAGCCATCCATGGTCTCGCCCCGTCCTACCATCTCTGAACTGCTGATTCTCTACCAACCTCCCTACTCCCTCCGTCCAGCGGACTCCGGGCTGCTCCGTGTCTCCCACCCGATCCGCCCTCCCATCGGTGGCCGGGCTTTCAACTTCTCTGCCCCCGCACTCTGCAACTCCATCGCATGGATCCTTCCTCTCGCTTCCTCCCCGGCCTACTTCAAGGCCGGTCTCAACACCCTTCTCTTCTACTGTGCCTTTGGTCTCCCTCCCACCTCTCTGCCTTCCCCCACCGATCACATCACTCACCCCTTCCACACCTCTCCCCCATGCTCGGGCCCCGACCCCCAACTGTTCAGCGCTTTGGGAAGTCCTCCGGACGTGAAAGGCGCTCGGTAATTGTCATTTTGTTGATGGTGTTCTGTTGTTGCTCAGGGTCTAAATAGAAATATTCCCACAAAAGGGAAATGTGCGATAGCCAAGCCTGCTTGGATGACCAGGGATATTCTGTCCAGGATGAAAAAGAAGAAGATGGTGTACGACAATTGGCGGATGCAAGACACTGAGGATAGCAAAGCGCATTATAGAGAATGCAGGAGTGATCTTAAAAGAGCGATAAGACAGGCAAAAAAATCGCATCAGAAGAGGTTAGCGGGTAACATAAAGGGGAGTCTTAAAATATTTTATTAGCATATAAAAGAAAAGAGGTTAGTTTAAGGTAGGGTGGGGCCAGTCAAAGACAATGACGGCAATCTTGTTGTGGAGGCAGAGGGATGGCTGATGTACTGAACGATTACTTTGCATCTGTCTTCACAACGGAAACGGATGCCCCTAATGCCACAGTATTGGATGACAGGGCAGAGGACATAGATCAGATTACTATAGACAGAGAGGAAGTTCTGAAAAGATTGACTGGGCTCAAAATAGATAAGTCACCAGGACCAGATGGGTTTCACCCAAGGTTGTTCTGGGAAATACGGGTTCAAATAGCGAAGGCTTTGGCCATTATATTTCAATCGTCATTGGACACAGAAATGGTGCCAAGAGACTGGAGAGTGGCTAATGTTACCCCCTCTACAAAAAGGGGCAGAAAGACAAGCCCGGAAATTACAGGCCAGTCAGCCTAACTTCGGTAATAGTAAAGCTACTGGAGACCGTAATCCGGGACAAAATAAATCTCTACTTAGAGGAACACGAGGTAATTAGACACCCCCAACATGGATTTGTTAAAGGCAAATCTTGCATGACAAATCTAATAGAATTTTGTGAAGAGGTGACTGCGAGGGTTGATGAGGGAAATGCGGTGGGCATTATTTACATGGGTTTTTAAAAAGGCTTTTGGCACAGTACCACATAAGAGGTTAATAAGAAAACTGGAGGCCCACGGTATTAAGGGGACAGTAGCCGTTTGGACTAGGAAGTGGCTGAGTGACAGAATACAGATGGTGGTGGTTAATGGGTGTTTCTCGCAATGGACGGAGGTGTGCAGCGGTGTCCCCCCAGGGATCGGTATTGGGACCACTGCTCTTTCTAATATATATCAATGATCTGGACTTGGGCATAGGGAGCACTATTTCCAAGTTTGCAGATGATACCAAATTAGGTAGGGTAGTAATTAGCGAAGAAGATTGTGACGGACTGCAGGCAGACATACACAGAATGGTGGAATGGACTGACATGTGGCAGATGGATTTCAATGTAGATATGTGCGAGGTTATACACTTAGGTAGGAAAAATAATAGGAAGCAATATAGACAGCTCAATATTAAGGTGGGTGAACATACAGAGAGATCTGGGGGTTCAAGTAAGCCATTCATTGAAGGCGGCAGAGCAGGTAGATAGGGCAGTAAAAAGGGCATTTGGTTTCCTGAGCTTCATTAGTAGGGGCAAAGAGGGTAAGAGTCGGGAGGTTATGCTTAATCTGTACAAAACACTTGTTAGGCCTCAGCTGGAGTACTGCGTCCAGTTCTGGGCACCTTACCTCAGGAAGGACATTAAGGCACTGGAAAGGGTGCAGAGGAGATTCACGAGAATGATAATAATCCTTGCATTTGATATAGCGCTATTCGCGTCAGGAGGACGTCCCAAAGCGCTTCACACAACACACTGTAAAGTGAATTGACTGTATATTTGTGGGCGAACGCGGTAGCCAATTGCGCACAGCAATGTCCCACAAACAGTCATAGATTGAAAATGACCAATTTTATTATTGTTTTGAGTTTTTTGGAGCGATTATTATTAGGCTCTGTGTGGAGTAAGGAAACTTGCCCAAGGTTTCGCCATGACCTGCCTGAAATTGAACCCAGGTCTCTCGCTTGCAAAGCGAGTGCTCTAACCACTGAGCTACAGGACTCCACAAGAAGATAGGTTTGCAGGGTTATGGGAAGAAAGCTGGTGAGTGGAGTTAGTAAAAATCTGTTGCTCTGTCAAAGAGCCGCACAGACTCGATGGGCCGAATGGCCTCCTTCTGTGCCGTAACGTTCTATGATCCTATGATTTGTGTTTGTGTGCGTGTAAGTGTGTATCAGTGTTTTTGGTTGTGTCTGCGTGTTTGAGAGTTTGTATGTGTATTTATGTCCGTGTTTTTGCGTTTGTTTGCGTGAGTGTGCTCGCCTGTGTGTTTGTGTGTGATTGTGTGTTTTTCTTTGTGTGTGAATTTGTGTGTTTGATTGTGTGTTTGATTGTGTGTATGTCTGTACGTGTATTGGTGTGTGCGTGTGTTTTTGTGTGTTTTTTATGTTTGTGTGTGCTTGAGTGTGGGTGCTTGTGCGTGTGCAATTTTGTGTGTATGAGGTTGTGAGTGTTTTTACGAGTGTTTGTTTGTGTGTGTTTGCGTGTGTGTTTTTGTGTGTGTGTGTGTGTTTGTTTGTGTCTCTGTATGTGTATTTATGCGTGTATTTGTATTTGATTTTGTGCTTCTGTTTGTGTTTGTGTGCTTTTGAGTGTGTCTTTACGTGTTTCCATGTGTGTGTGATTGTGTGTTATGTTTGTTTGAGTGTGCAAGTGTGTCGGTGTGTTTGAGTTTGTTTTTGTGCGTACTTGCGTGTTTCTGAGTGTATATTTGTGCGAGTGTTTGTGTGTATGGTTATGCATGTTTGTGTATATGTGTTAATTTCTGCTTGTGTATTTTTTTCTGTGTATGTTTGTTTATGTGTGTGTGTTTGTGTGAGTGTTTGTGTGTTTGTTTCTGTGTGTTTCTGTGTGTGCGCGATTGTGTGCGTTTGTGTATCCGTGTGTTTGTTTGTATGTGTTTGTGTGGTTAAGTTTGTGTGACTGTGATTGTGTGTTTCTGTGTGTGCGTTTGTGTGAGTGCATTTGTGTGGGTGTTTGCGTGTAATTTTGTGTGTGTATTTTTGTATGCGTGTTTGTGTGTATGTGTGTGCCTATGTGTGTGTGTATGTATGTGTGTGTGTCTTTCTGCCTCTGTGTGTGTGTATTTTTCTGTGGGTCATGGGTTTGTGTGTGTATGGGTATTTATATGTGTGTGTGTTCGTGTGATTTTGTTCATTTTTGTGTATGTGCTTCTGTGAGTTTTTGCGCGACTGGTTGCGTGATTGTGTTTGTGTGTGTGTCAGTCTGTGTATTTGTCTGTCGATCATGTGTTTTTTTGTGTGTGTATGTGTATTTATGTCTGTGCGTTTCTGTGTTTCTGTGTGTGTGTGTGTGTGTGTCCATCTGTGTATGTCTATGTGTGTTTGTGTGCATGTCTGTGAGTGTGTGTGTGTATTTGGCTGTGGGACATGTGTTTGTGTATTTATGTTTGTTTGTGTGTGGTTTTGTTTATGTTTGTATGTGTGCGAGTTATTGTTTGTGCGCGTGTGTTTATGCGTATGTGCGATTTTGTGTGCATGAGTTTGCGAGTGTTTGTGCGTGTTTGTGGGTTTCAGTGTTTGAGTGTGTGTATATTTGCATATTTTTTTGCTTGTGTATCTCTGTATGTGTATTTATCTGTGCGTGTTTGTATGTCGTTTTGTGTGTCTGTGTATTTATTTCTGTCTATATGAGTGTTTGTATGTTTGTGTTTGAGTGTTGTGTTTGTTTGTGTGTACATGTGCGTGCGTGTTTGTGAGTTTGTTTTTGTGTATTCTTGTTGATTTGTGTGTTTCTGCGTGTGTGCTTTTGCATGTGTTTGTGTGTGCGTTTCGGTGCGTGTCTGTGTAAGTAGTTATTTGTGTGTGTTTCTCTAAGTGTGGGGGATTCTGTGCGTTTGTGTGTGTGTGTGTGCTTGTTTCTGTGTGGGGTGTGTGTTTTCGTACGTACGTGTTTGTGTGGGGGCGTTTGTGTGTGTATGTGCATTTATTTATATGCATGTGTGTGTATGTGTGTTTCTATATGTATGTGTGTATTTCAGTGTGTCTGTGTGTGAGTGTCTATGTGTGCGCATCTGTGTGTGTTTGGGTGTTTGTGTCTGCTTGTGTGTATCTGTATGTGGGTCATGTGTTTATATGTGTGTGTGAGTAGCAATGTGTGGTTGCATGTCTGGATTGGTGTGTATCCTGGTGTGTGTGTTTGTGTGTGTGTGTGTGTCGCACCCCTACAACCTGTCCGGCATCAAACAAACTGTGAGTGACAGTGGGTTACACACACTGTGTTTACTCTGATCCCTGTTATGTCTCTGTGTCTCTGATCTCCAGGTTGGACAGAAACAATCTGACAGCTGATTGTACCGAGGATCTGACCTCCGCTCTCAGCACAAACCACTCACTGACGGAGCTGAACCTGAATAATAATAATCTGGGAGATTGTGGAGTGAAGCGACTGTGTGTGGCTCTGAGGAACCCGGAGTGTAAAACACAGAGTCTGTGGTAAGTAACGCACTGTGTCGCCAGAGTCTGAATGACTCCAATATCTCAATGTGTTTATTGTGACTGTCTGATCAGTGCGGCTGAATATTGTGACAGGAATCAGTGTGACAGTGTGAGGCCACAAGCCATCGTTTACTTCAAACCCTCAACATGTATTAATGTGTGTGTGTCTGTGTGTGTGTTTATCAGTGTGTGTCTCTGTGTGTGTGTGTCTGTTGTCAGAATCATTTGCAACTATCTCCATCAATTGTACAATGATCCGGTTCCAGTTTACCAATTGGTTGAGTTCAGTCACTATATTCACGTCAAAACAGCAGGAAATACACAAATAAATAAAACAATAAAATAATACACAAGACACAAAAAGGTACCGAGCGGATTCCTGTTACAGCACTGGTCGTGTCTCGCACTGCTCCGCTACCGTTCCCGATAGATATCTAACACACCTTTGTTTAAAGACACATTAATAACTCCAGACAATGCTGTCTTTTTTAAGAAAAATAAATCCTTATATGGTTATATCCATAATATGTTTCAATTCTCCCTTTAACCAAATGTTCTTCTCTCCTGATCAGTGCCTTCGACCAGTGTGTAAGTGTGAAAAGACTTTCTGTGTCATGTACGTCCTGACCTTATGTTGCCATTGTTTTGGGTTCTGCCTTCAGTCACTGAGCATTGCAGCCTTTGCACTTCCATTTCGTATTATACCACACATTAACATCAATCCATGACAACAATTATTGTCACCCTCACTCGACCCCATCACTCCCCATCCTCGCCCAACACCCTTGCCCGACCCCAGTGGCTCCCCATCTCACCGAGGATCGAGTTCAAGATCCTTGTCCTCACCTTTTAGGCCAGCCATGGCCTTGCCACCTCCTCCTCTCTCTGACCTGCTGACTCCCTACCAACCTTCCCGCTCCCTCCGTCCAGCGGACTCCGGGCTGCTCCGTGTCTCCCGCACGACCCGCCCTCCCATCCGTGTCCGGGCTTTCAGCCTCTCTGCCCCCACACTCTGGAACTCCATCCCATGGATCCTTCCCCTCGATTCCTCCATTGGCTCCTTCAAGGCCGGTCTCAAGACCCTTCTCTTGCATCGTGCCTTTGGTCTCCCACCCATCTGCCTTTACTCACTGCTACCCCACCGGCTCCCGCATACTTGTGCCCCGACACCTGACTCTTCAGCGCTTTGGGACGTCCTCCCGACGTGAAAGGCGCTCTATTAATGCCATTTTGTATGTGTTGTTGTATATTTGCGTGTGAGTGTACTTGTGTGTGTCTAAGTTTGTATGTGTGTTTGTGGGTGTGTTTCTGTACTGATGTGTGTGAGTGTTTGCATGTATATTCGTGGGTGTTTTCGCGTGTGTTTGAGTTTGTGTTCTCTGTGTGCACGTTTGTGTGTGCCTTTGTGTGTTTGTTTGTGCGTGAATGTCTGTATGTGTGTTTGTTTTTGTGTTTGTGTGTGTATGTGTATATTTGTGTGTGTTCGTGTGTGATTTTGTTTATGTTATGTTTATGTGTGTTTGCTTGTGCGGTTTTGTGTTTGTGCGTTTGCGTGTGTGCCATTTTGGTTCTATAAGTTTGTGAGTGTTTATAGCACATAAGAACCTATGAATTAGATGCAGAGTAGGCCATTCGGCCCCTCGAACCTGTGCCTCGCCACTCCATAAGATCATGGCTGATCTTCAGACCTAATTCTAATTACCTGCCCTATGCCCATATCCCCCACACCCAACATTTTTAAAAAAATCTATTAGTCTCAGCCTTCAAGATGTTCATGGACTGACCATCTACAGCCTTCTGGGGGAGTGAATTCCATAAATTCACTGCCCTCTGTGTGAAGAAATGTTTCCTCAACTCTGTTCTAAAAGGCTGACCCTTAATTTTCAGACTGTGACCCCTGGTTATAGATTCTCCTACGAGGGGAAACAGACCCTCGGTGTCTACTTTATCAGCCCTTTAAGAATCATATATGTTTCAATAAGACCTCCCTTAATTCTTCTGTCTAGAGAATATAGTTCTAGTTTATTCAGCCTATCCTCAAAGGTCAGCCCCTCATCCAATGAACTAACTTAGTGAATCTGCGTTGCACCCCCTCGAGGGCAAGTGTGTCCTTTTTTAAATAAGGAGACCAAAACTGCACACAATACTCCAGGTGCGGTCTCACCAAAGCCCCTATACAGTTGCAGGAGGACTTCCCTACTCTTGTCCTCTGAACCTTTTCCAATGAACACTAACATTCCGTTCGCGTTCTTAGTTGCTGCTGCACATGCAAACTAACTTTTTGAGACTGGTGTATAAGGAGTGTACACCACTTTTGTGAGTGTTTGTGTGTGTGTCTGTGTTTGTGTTTCTGTATATTGCGTGTGTTTGTGTGTTTATTGTGTATCTGTGTGTGTGTATTTATGTGTGTGTTGTATTTGATTTTGTGTTTCTATGTGTGTTTGTATGTTTTTGTATGTTCGTGATAGTTTTTTGTTGTTTGCTTGTGTGTGCATGTGTGAGCGTGTATGTCAGATTGTATGTTTGTTTGTGTTTGTGTTTCTCAGTGTGAATTTGTGTATGTTTTTGTGTTTGTTTATGTATGTTTATGTATGTTTGTGCATGTGTGTTTGTGTGTGCTTGCGTGCTTTTTTCTGTGTGTGCTTATCTGTTTGTGTTTGCGTGTGTTTGTAAGTGTGTGCGCTTGTTTGTGTGTTTATGTGAGTGTTTGTGTGTTTCTGTGTGTGTGTTTTTCTGTGTGCATATTTGTGCGTGTTTTTGTTTGTGTATCTGTTTATGTGTATTTATGTCTGTGTGTGTTGGAATGTGATTTTGTTCCTGAGTGTGTTTGTTTGTTTTTGACTGTGTGTGTCTTTTTGTGTGTTTCCATATATGTTTATGTTTTTGTGTGGGTATGCATGTGTTTGTTTGTGCATGTGTGTGCGTGTTTGTGACTTTGTTTTTTGTATGTTTGTTTGTTTGTATGTTTCTGTGTATGTGTTTCTGTGTATGTTTATGTATGTTTGTGTGTGTTTTGTGTGTTTGTCTGCTTTTTTTTCTGTGTGCGTGTTTACGCTCGTGGGATTGTGTGCGTTTGTGTGTCAGTGTGTTTGTTTGTAGATGCTGGTGTGTGTTTCTGTGTGTGTATGCGTACGTATGTGTTTGTATGGGTGAGATTGTGTGTGTGTGTGTCTGTGGCTGTGTTTGTCTCTGTGTAAGTGTGTCTGTATAAGTTTGTGTCTGTGTGTGTGTATTTGTCTGCGGGTCATGTTTTTACGTTAGTCTGCGTGTGTGAGCAAGTGTGTATCTATTTCAGTGTGTATTTGTGCCTGTGCTTGTGTGCGCTGGTGTGTTTGTCTGTGTATTTGTGTGCGTGTGTGCTGGTATGCGTGTTTGTATGTGTGTGTATGTGTCAGTCGGGGAGCGGCGGCAGGACAGCGCGGGGAGGAGCCTGGGCCTACTGACCCAGGTATTTAAACTCGACGCCGGAGCGAGTTCAGCTACGGAGGGGGGGGGGGTGTGGGGGCGGAGCGGGGGAACTGCTGACGTCATAGATTAGTTTTCAGGTGCGTGCGAGCGCAAAAAAAAAATTACAACCCTCTGCTCCCCCCCCCCAGGGCTCACATCAGAGCCCACTATGGTCCTATTGGGTTCGCTGCCCCAATCTACGGGATAATGCCATCCACCTGACCGCTCGCTCCCGGTCCCCGCGTGCGCACTATGGCTGCTGCTTTGACCCGAGACCCCTCACCCCCTCCCTCCCGCCCCCTCCTCTCTTCCCCCAAACCCTCCCCCCTCTGCATCTCTCCTGCTCTCTCCTCCTCTCTCTCCGTCCCTCTCGTCTTCTATCACCACTTGACACTCCCACAACCTCCCTCTGCTCCAGCCTGGGAATCCTCCGCCGGGCTCACCGTGGCACTCGGCGTTGGCTGTCCAGGAGCAGCCACACCGACTGCCCCATTCCCCACCACACTCGCCACCCACCCCGGATACAGACCCGGGGAGCCAACCTCACCTCCCGTAACCCCATCCCCTCCACCCCTGCCTCACAACCTGGACCCGCCTCCCCTCCCACACGCCCTTCTGTCAACCGCTCCCTCCACATTGGACTGCAAAATGTCCGCTCCCTCTGCAACAAGGCCCTGATCATCAACGATCTCATCCTTGATGAGAACGTTGACATCATGGCCTGAACAGAAACCTGGCTCACCCCAGGCGACACCTTCCCCCTCACGGAGGCCACAACACCCGGCTACACCTCCCACCACATCCCCCGCCCCAACAGCCGTGGCGGTGGTGTAGCCCTTATCTCAAGGACACCACTTGCCCTATCCCCTTACTCCACTGGCTCTTTCCCCTCCTTTGAGCATCTCACCCTCTCCCACCCCTCATTCCTCTCCCTTAAAATCCTCCTCCTCTACCGGCCTCTTAAAACCTCTCCCACCTTCATCTCTGATATTTCAACACTCCTCACAGTCTCTTTGCCTCTGCTCCGATCGCCTCATCATCCTGGGCGACTTTAAACTGCACTTCACCCCCTCCTGCTCCATCCCCTCAGATGTCTCTTCCCTGCTGTCCTCACTCAACCTCTCCTTACACATAGACTCCCCCACTCACAGTCACGGCCACCCACTCGATTTGGTGATCACCCGGGGCCTCAGTGTCTCGGATGTTACTATTACCAACAAGGCCATCTCTGACCACCACTTCATCACCAAATTTCATCTCCTTCACCACCTGCATCCCCCTCCCCATCTCCACCAGACCCACCACCATCTTCTACCGCCCTTGGAAGAAGTTACCCCCAAAATCCCTAACCGATGCCTTGGAGTCCTCTGAACTCCTCTCCCTCTGGCCTTCAACCCTCACCGACCCCTCTTCTCCTCTCTCCCTCCTCCATAATACCCTCTCCTACACACTCGATACTCTTGCCCCCATCACTTCCCGCACTGTCTCCTACTC